CTGAGTTCAATTGACTGAACTCACATGATAGAAGAAAAGAACTGACTTCTACAATAGTCCTGTGCTGTGGGAGACAGGCTTGAGCCTAGGGTGAAAGTCTTATTGACAGTCATACAGCAGGCCTGAGGCAACGGCCCTACCACTGGAGCCACAAGGAACGCCTTGTGACATTTGCTCCCATTGGCAGATCGTGAGACTGATGCCTAGAGCTCGCCACTCCCTAATCACCACCCTTGGAATCCAAAATTGCAACACTTAGATATTGCAACAGTCAGGGTCACCTGGTTTCCAGGAATCCAGGCTCTGTAATCTGAAACCCATTATGCTAATGAGGCAACCTACCTGCTATTCTGTGATAGGACGTTAAGACTGTTATGCTAATAAGGTATCCTACCTGCCGTGCTGTGATTGGACCACTACCCCTATATAAGCTTGTGACGTCCTGCAATAAACCAGACCTGTGTCACTGAACCTGGTCTCCTGTGTCTGAATGCGGCTCCGCTGACGCAGTCTCCTCACCAGCCCTGGGGTCCGGGACTGGGCAGAAGCAGAGATATCATGAGGCAGCACAGGGCAAGCAGAAGAGATGCCTCAGCACCAGGCGAGCAGAAGAGCGGCCTCAGCCCAGGGCAGGCAGAAGAGCAACCTCAGCACAGGGCGAGCAGAGGACCAGCCTCGAAGCCCATGAGAATGAAGGAGTGCCACCCATGAGAACGGAGGAGCAGCCGCCACTGGCGGTGACCACACTTTGCTACCTATACACATGCTGTGATACATACACACACAGACACACACACTAAATAAATACATAATAAAGTAAAATTTTAAAAAATTAAAGATATAAACATACCCATATATTGGTTTTTGACACCAAATATAGGAAGTTTTTAATAACCAGTGTGATTGAGTCATTAATATGTTATACAAGATAATGCTAATAATTTGCCTGTGATTTTTCTGCAATTAAAATAATTTTGCCAAAAAATAACATAAATGTTTTCTTAATGAGATGCACACAATGTGGCCTAAGCCAAGTCTGTGCCACCTAAAGAATATTCTCAAAGTTGCCCAAAACATAGGCTAATGTAAAATGTAATATTTCGTTAAATACATGTCTATGACATACCAAACATTACCCTTGGAAAATTACATAAGCAATTATCTCTTTTAATTCTGAAGCAATTTGGAACCTAAGGTCTATGTGAATTTTCTGTTTCAGAGGTGAGGACCATACTTGAGAGAACACAGAGTTAGTAACAGCCATGCACAATGCTAATATCTAGTGTGTCACCTCTGCGTTCACCTTTGAGCCTGGGTATACTTCTGAGCTGCCAATTAAGTAGCCACACAGCTGTAATTCAAGGATGATTTCCCCTTCTGCTTCCAGACTAAGGAACCGTATCATTAAGAATACGCTGTAATGTGCCTTTGTGTCCAGTGCTGCTCACTGGCATAGCTCACGACCATCACTGTCTATGAAATTCAGCTGAGATGCAGACAGTGCTCATGAAGATGCTCTGTGAGTACACAGTATCCACTTTTCAGACACTATAAAACATCTATGTCCCTCAGTGTGGGCATCTGGGCACACAAACGACAAGATAGGCCTTAACACATTTGAGCAAACACATGACATCCAGGGAGGGGGAGATTTATGGGGATACAGATGGGCAAGGGGGTATAAAGATGATTAAAATGTTTTGTATCAAATGCAAAAATTTCAATAAAAATATATACTGAAAAAAAATCTATATTCTAGCATAGAGACACTGGCACATCCATGTTCATTGCTTCTCCATCCACAGTAGCCAAGGAATGAAACAAACTACGTACCCATCAAAGGATGAATGTATAATGAAAATACAGTATATTTATGCAACAGATTAATTTTTAGATGATTGGATTTAAGGTCCACTTCACGAGATGGTGGCCCTACATTGCACTGCTATCAGGGTCAAGAACTTGTGGCTAGACAGGTCACTGGTCTTAGGGACGATCCTACTACTATTATCCTGCTAAGTGGACATAATACTAAATTGACTCCTAATGACTTATCGTTATACCCATAGAGCAGTGCATCTTCCAGCTCTCCCAAGAAGCTCCTTCTTGCAGCACATGGCAGTTAACACAAAAACCTACAGATGGTCAACTCACAAAAATCAAGATACCGCAGAGTACTCAGCCCTAAATGGGACACATTTTCTCCTCCCAAGTTTCGGGATCATTGTGGAAGAGAGGCTGGAAAGACTGTAAGAGCTAGAGGTGGCTGAGGAATACAAGAAACTATATTTTCTAGAAAAAAAAACAGGGAAATTACACATATGAATCCACAGCACATGTGAGAGCACAAGACCTACATAAGCACAGGTAAGAGGTAAGAGAAAAGCCCTGCATGGATGGGGGGGCAAGCAGTGCCAGCCCTAGATGAGGGACTGTTGGCAGTTATAGCTTCAGGGAGAGGAAGAAACCCTTTGCATTAAGGGTATGAGATGCTGGGGAGGTTGACCAGGCTCCAAGCTATGGATCCATACCCAATAGCTTTTGGGAAACACAAATTAGACTTGATAGGTCTTAAAAATAATAGATAAAGGACATAACATGGCAGGGGGCAGGGAGATGGGAGTGGATCTGAGAGGAGGAGGGGTTTGAATATTGTCGGAATTCATTGCATGAAAATTTCAAAGTGAAAAGTTGTTGCTCAAGAAAATTGGAAATAAACACAAACAGCAAGGGAAGGAGTCAAGTTATCCGAACTTGCAGGTTATATTCTTCTAGTTAAAAGACCAAATGAAAATGTTCAGCAAAAACCTCAGACCAGTAAGCACCTTTAGAAATGCAGCAAAGTAGGAAATCATGCAACATACAAGTCTATAAAGCACTGGGAAAAAAATTGTGGCAGATACTGAAAGATAGGAAAGACCTTCCATAGCCACAGCTCAGCAGAAATGCTCAAATCTTGGCCATCAGGGAAATTTAACTTAAAACTACTTTGAGGTTCCATCTTATCAAAGTGTTAATGGCTTTTATGCAAGAAACAAATAATAACAATTGCTGGTGAGGAGGCATGGAAGAAAGGATTACTTATTCATTGCTGGTAGGAATATAAATGGATCCAACTGCTATGAAAATCAATATGGAGGTTCCCCCAGAACTTTCATATGATTCATATAAACATGTTTACACATTTTCCTAAAAGAATAAAAGTCAGTTTATTGCACAGATACCTGCAAGCTTACATTTATTGCTGCACAATAGCCTAGTTATGCGATCAGTCTAGGTATCCATCAAGGATAAATGAATACAGAAGACATGGTATATATACAGAATCGAGTTTTACCCAGCCATAAAGAAGATTGAAATTATGTCAACTGCGACAAAACAGGTGGAAATGGAGATCACCACATTATGTGAAGTAAGTCAGACTTACACAGCTAAGTACTATGTATTTTCTCTGATATATGGAATCAAAGGGGACACATCGAGAAGTACTTAGGGACTATGAGAAATGAGGAAGTGGAAAAGGGAGAGGGAAAGGAGAATTAGAGTAATAGAGGGCCAGTGAGATGAGTCAGTGGGTAAATGGACTTGCTGCCAACCCTGATGACCTGAGTTCAAGTCCCAGGATTCACACGGTAGAAGGAGAGAAACAACTTCTGCACACTTTCCTGTGACTTCCACATTCATACTATGGGAGATCAGTGCACAAACACATAGACACACTAAATCAATAAGTGCATGAAAAATAAAGAGTAACAAAGTAAATATAATCTAAGTATGTATTCATGAAACACTTACATAACAGCAAGTCTTTCAACAATTAATGAACATGCTAATAAATAAAAAACTTTCAGTGAACAGAAAAATAAAAGCAAAAGTTTCAGGGCTCCCTTTCCCATTCTGCAGGTTAACATCTAGGACATAAAAGACATTTGCTTTCCTTACCTACAAGAGCTATACTAAAGGAAGAACCTGTTTATTTTCTATACTAAATATGTGGTTTATGTGTTAATACCCGGTACAGTAAGAGTTTGGAAATATTCTTTTATCATTTCCATAATCCAAACTGCTAGTTTTATGTCATACCTCTACTATGTATTAATATGTAATTATTAATACATATGTATTAATAATCCTCCAATATGTATTAATATACATATTAGTAGGATTTGTTCTTTTCACTTCTTACAGTATTGTCACTGTGTGCATGGTGTTGAAAAATTGCTGACTCAACATTTCCTAGTAATGATTTAAATTACTTAATATTTTAAGAGAAAAGAGTGTGTAGACATATTTAATCATAAAGTATTTCAATATATAAAGTCAACCATTCAAATTGACATATCCATTGTTCTAGAAAGTATAAACAAATAGTCCACAATTTGTTCAAGAACTCTTTTTCATTTATGGTGGGAGATTACAGCAAGCATTCAGTGAAAACCACACCTAGAATTTCAGATTGTGCTCTGTACCTGAGGCAGCAACACATAGGGTAATAGTCTCTTGGTTCTGTCAGCAATGTAGCCAGAAGGCTAAGTGCCTGATTCTCTGCAATGCACAGTGTTGTTAAAGTGTGATGTTCAACAGGTTAGGTGTAACAAATGTGTTATTTACTCATGCTGTTTTCAACTTATTGGTAGACTTCTCAGAAGGTAAACCCTTGTAAATGGAAGGGTATCTGGGTATAAACACAATAATGTCCAGTTAAAGTAGAATTTAGATACTTTGCTTAAATTCTAACCTGATTCTAAACCAAATTCTTTCCTTTTACTTACCTGAGAAAAAACTGCCTGAATGAGAACCTAGGAACTGATTAATATAAATAACAAAGAGGAAAAATTGTAAGATGTTTTTGTGAGTAAAGGCTTGAGAGACATTTTATTTTCAAAAATACTATTTTTCATTATGAAGCAATGAATTATTAGAGATTTATGCTATCCCTCTCATTTTCTTCCTTTCTACCCTCCACCCTGCAAAAAAACATACACAGAAGGCAAACATACCTGTTAGGAGAGGCACAGCCAATTTTTGATTCCCCAAGCCACGGGATGACAGGCAGCCATTTGTAAGCACAATGTCATCAAGTGCGAAGTTACCATGGTGACCATTCCCAACTCTGCCTTCAAACTTGAGTTGGAAGTCCTCATCACTAGACAGCCATATTTCCTTTCTCTGCCAAAAATTGCCTTGTTCTTCAGTGAGATTAAAAAGGACCTTTGTTTGGTTTGAAACTGAAACCTGGAGCAAGGACAGGGCTCTAAGGCCAGTTCCATACATGTGACAGTTAAAAATGATCTGCAGCAAGAACAGGAAATTAGGTGAGCATTGTTACTTCCTCTATGTTTAAAAATATATTTCAACCTCCTCTTTTTCATTACCAGACCTGGAAGAAAAACCAGAACTGCATATTTTATTTCTCTTTGAGCACTCTAATACTGAGTGACATCAGGGAAGCTTTGAATTAGATACATAGAAAGTAGTATAGTAAGGACTGAGTAGAAATTTAGTGGAAAAGTGGAATGAGCTTATGCTTATGACAATTGTAGAGGAAAATTCCTCAAGGCTGTGGGTTGAATGTGTTCTCTAAAATTCCTGTGTGAGCAATTTAACCTTCCAGTATAAGAGTGCTAAGAGATGGGAACTTTATAAAGTGATGACCATGAGGGCTTTGCTTTCATGAATGGACAGAGGTCACCAGAAGAGTGGATTCATTATGGACAGATAGGTGTTTGTTTTTATTTTAAATAACAAAATACTCTTTTGCTTATTCTACCACATTTGTATACCTGAAATACATTTGAGATCTGCAAGAGCTGCAGGACTCCACTACCTATAGCAAGCCCTGCAGAAGAATAATTACCGATTTTTACTTGAAATGCTAGAGATGGGCAACAGAGGGCTGTAACTCAGGAGATTTTTTTCCTGAATAAAAATTAATAAAACTATTATAAGACATTAATTTTTCATTGTGTCAAAGATAGGGTTTGCTAGATTTTTAGTCATTGTTACACAGTGGGAGAAAATGAAAGAAAATTCAGGGAGAAAGAAAAAAACAGGCCAGAAACAAAAATTCAGAGTTTGTTAAGCTTTTGTTTTGCAGGGGACTGAGCAAAAGTGATTATAGTATGCACCTTTACATAAGAATACGTTATTGAACTCTACCAATCAGGCCTACAATACTCAAGAAAGAGAAAACGTGTTTAAAAAGTGAGAAATATGACTAAAAAGTACATGCAGTGGGTTACTTCAAAAGTGCGGACTTAGTGGAGGATAGCCCTGGTGAGTGACTATGCAGATTCTCCAGCTCATGAAATCTCCAAATGTTTGTCTTAACAAAATGATCTCTTTAATTTTTCCAACAGGGACTCTGTAATGTTTGGTCTCTGGAATGTTGAAACCTCACAAGTACTGTTATTTGAGAGAGGGATAGAAAGAACCTAGGATTTTATACACCATCAAAAGTCCCAGAAATCCAGGCTCAGCTGTGGTCCAGTTCTGTCTGGACACCACAGACATTGCCCGTCCAAAGTTCTCCTTTGTCCGATTTGCACAACAGCTCTGAAGCACGCACCTCATATCTCTACTTAAGACCTTTTCTCAGTCAGACCAGTGGGTTCATATGTGAACTAACACCTTCAACTCTGCATCCAGGGAAAATACCTAATGAAAATATAATCTATTCCCAGGGCAACATGAGGAAACTGCAATCTGCTAAATATTAATTCTTGTAAGGAGATTTATTTTTACTGAAAAGTTCCATTATTCAAGGAGTTGATCCCTTCTTCCACCAATTTCCGTCAACTCCTCCTTTCTACTACAACTGAAGAAAAACAATTCAATTATCTCTGGTTAAAGATAATAGAAAAGGTGACAGGACACAAATGGATTGAAAGAAACATTGTGATGTCACTGTGCTTACACAGTAAAAATTATTGTTAGTGTAAATTGTATTTAGTTATATTCAGTCCCCTAGTTGGCTCAAAAACTTTAAAGAATATAAGCAAAATGTCCAAGATAATAATAAATAAAGGAAAGTAAGAAAACTCTGTAAGTATGTAGGTTTTAAATGAGGCTTTTTAGACTCAAAACCCACACATACCATTTTGCATATATAGAACTACATGGATATTTCCTTCAATTTTTCATAAGCTAAGCATAGTATCATGTTTCTTTTTGCCTAAGAATGCTTTTTACATGCCAATTTCACGCTGTCCTTTTCTAAGCAGATTCAACTCCTTTGTAGCTTTAATCGCTTCAAAATTTGGAATATTAGTTATATATTGCTTATCATTAAATTTTTTGTTGGTGAGATTCTTATAGGTCCAGTAAGCTCTACAACTAGTATTTTGCTTCTTTTGTATTATCCAAGATTATGAATAATTACACATGGGATTATTCCAATGGTTTCTAGAATTATAGCATCCATAGAATTCATCCATTAGAGAAAAATTTCTAATAGATCTAACAATCCTCATTTATTCTTTTTTTTCTCCTTCAAATTTATAATGATGAGTAACTTCAAATACCCATGTGCTCTGGTCCCAGGCATCCTATGCTCTCTACATGACTTTATCAACAATTGTTTGTAATTGTCCCGAATTTCCCCTCTGTACCTTGCAGTCTTTGCTTCTCCTGCTTATAAATGGGCTTGATATTCTGGCTACTTTCATGGGCTGCTGTGGGAAGAAGCTCTTTATAAGGATGTAATGACCAGATGAATTCCCCAAAGTGTGGTCTACAGCTGGCTCGGTGCTTGTAGTTGGAATGTTGCTAGCTTTCAGGATCCAGTCAAAGTCATCATCCTGATCCTGCTCCCAGGCACAAAGGTCAAATTCAAAGTCACAGCGTCCACTAGAAATACCTGGAAGACATCAGCAAATTTATGGCTGAAAGAAAAAAAATACTTGAATGTACATAATTCAAAAATCACAGTGATCAGACCACCAGAGTGCCTGTTCTGGATTCCCTCTGGCACGGGCTGAGAGCTCAGGGGATTGCCTGAGAGCACCTGGATCCTGCCCCCCCATGGTGCTAAGCCTTTGAGAGGGAACTGACACTGATTCTAGCCAGTCCCAACAGCTATCAAAGTGCTTGCAAACAAATCCTGAGTCCATCACTCTCAAATCCAGCCTTAGCAGACAAAAGAAAAATGAGGAAGAACCCAATAGAGGGATGCTTTTGGAAACTTTCATCAAGAAATCCCAGTGGACTCTGATATGAACATTTGAAATCTGCCCTGTTCTGACTTTTTTCTGGTTCCCTGTCTAGAACTCGTAATGCTAATTACTCTTGCCTTTACTTCTCCCTTACATCCCCTAAGGACCTTCTTTTCTCCCTACAGATAAGAGTTGTGCAGTTTTGGAGTCTTTTAGACAGACCCACTGAAGGGGTACCCCAATCGCCTCACCCTGCATCCCTGTTCACATGGAAGAAGCCAGAGAGGTCTACGTCCTGATTCCCTATCAGCAATTTGGGCAACCCTTTCAGAGGATGGTGTGATAAGAATAGGAGGTAGGAATTGGATAGGCAGTTAGGGTAAAAGACTCTGAAGAAAAGTAGGCAGTTTCTTGGCTAAAAGTCAAAATGTCCTTGGGCCTCTTAGGAAGACGCTCTGTTCCAAAGACCAAAACTGTCAAAAGTATTTGGGAGTGCTTATCTAATCCCTATAAGATTTTAGGATTACCTCTGCAGAGGGGGAAATGTTAGAGTAGCAAAAAGGCCCATTAGAAAGGACAGAAGGAAGGAAGGAAGAAAGGAAGGAAGGAAGGAAGGAAGGAAGGGTACATGAAGTTGTAAGAAAAAAGTGATGGGGAGATATAGGAGGTGTTGGAGAGAAGGGGGTGAGCGTGGATTTGGTCAAAACACCTTATATGTGCGTATGAAATTCTCAACAAAGTTTTTTTTTTTAAGGGAGGAGGACTGGGGAGATGGCTCCATGGATAAAATGGCTTCTTTGCGAGCATAAGAACTTGAGCTGGAACCCCAGCACCCACATAAAAAGCCTGGCATGTTGGCATTCTTCTGTAAGCCCAGACCTGGGAGACAGAAAGAGACCAACCCCTGGAGTTCTCTGGCCAGACAGCCAAGTTGAAATGGCAAGTTTTAGGTTCAGTGAAAGATTGTCTCAAAAAGTGAGGTAGACAGCAACTGAGAAAGACACTTGATACTGATTATTGGTCTCTAGCCTCAACGTGCACCACATACATACCCCCCCACAGACATGCACCACACATACACACAAACATTACACACACACACACACTCATACCACACACACACACACACACACACACACACACACACACGCTTAATGACTACTCCATAATCGTAAAAATGATTATTTCTGAATTGTAAGTGATTTATATATTCTTCCTTGTGCTTTTCTGCACTTTTCTAATTTCCCATGATTATGCATTATTTTCAGAAATTTAAGCACTGCACAATTCTAATGAATAAGAGCAATGCCTTTTGCAAAAGAAAAAAAATCACCGTGATATTCATGTCATGTGATATAGGCATCTTGTAACTAAGAAAATGTATTAACAAGAGAAACAGTTCCCACCAATCAAGAGGCTAAGAGTACCATCAAATAGCATCTGAGGCCAATAGCTGAGATTTCTCTTTTGCTGTATCTGCCTACTTGCTGTTTCCAACAATGTATTTGAAAAGTATCTTGATTTATGACCTTTTGTTCTGTTACGATAAAAAAAAATCTTAATGAAACTGTTACCACATTGGAATATGGGATTTGGAGTAACCTGAATCTGTGTTCCCAGGCCATGTTTAGTCATATTACCAGAATAAACTGTCTCTTATACCCTTTCAAAAAAAAGAAAAGCCTTATAGCAACATTTAAATATAATAGCTGTATGTTATAGTTCTTTGACTTATTATAAGTTTATTTTCCACAAATCTGGTTATAGTTTCAAAATCACTGCGACAAGAATTTTAGTATTACACTCATTTTCTCCTCCAAACATGTATTTAGTCAGTGTAATTAATTATTTTCTTTTTTGGATCTTTGTTTCTCCGTTCTTGATAAAGAATTTAGGAAGTTTATTGTTTATCAACAGAGTTTCAGTTGAGAAATGTTGCCTAAGATAAAACTTAAGATTCATCCTTGTAATTTTTTTTTTTTTTTTGAGACAGGGTCTCCTTGTAGCCCCAGCTGGCCTGGCACTCACTATGTAGACAAGGTTGGCCCTGATCTCATAGAGATCTACCAGTCTCTGTCTTCGGGGTGCTGGGATTAAAGGGGTGTACCACCATGCCCGGCACATTAAAAAGCTTAATTTAGAAGTGAAAACCTGTGGAATGTAAGAGGTAAACTATGCAATAACTTGGATTATTTATTACAATAAGTTTTAGAAGTTAAATGTTAAGTTGTGAATACCAAGTTATCTTCCAGGTGTTCTTTTAATTATTTTATTACTCACATCACTTATGATGCTTTTTCTTCCATTTTCTGGGTAGTAGGAGCAACATAGGCATCTCTTATAGTTAGTTACACAGTCATCTATACAGCCAGAACACGGATACTTGAGTTGTTTTAGAATTAAGCATTATCTTTAATGGGTCATGACTTACAAAATTATTTGTTTAGGATAATTTTAAGGGACTATATTTGATTCACCATAAAACCAGGTTCTGATTAATTTGCTCAAACATACCGATATATTCCATTTATAACTTTGAAAGCAATAACTACTGACTGACTTCTACTAAAATGTTAACTATGAGATGAGGTGACTCATATCCAAGAGCTGAAAATGCTTGAGGAAAACCTTTGCAGCAAGTCCACAAGCATTTCCACCAGATATCACTCCAGTGGAGAAAGCCTATTTGAACAACCTCTAGAGTATCCTGAGGCAGTATCATCGAAATAGAGTACGAATGATTTACCATCACCATTAGGAGACTTCCTCTCTAGCACAGTGACTAAAAGAAAACTAATAAATCATGAGGAAGCTACAGCAAATCCCAGAAAACTATTTATTTTATCTTATAAAATTCTTCAAGAAGAATTGTAAGTTATTTCTAGATGACATGAAGAGTATTTTTTCTTTACTCTTATCATGAATCAGATAAAATTGTTTAAATAAACCCCATGCTTTTATAGGTGGAGAGTATGAAATATATATTTTATGATTTTTTTCTACACCATTTTGGGTTATATAACACTACCAAATTGAACACTAACTTCATCATACTTCCAATTAAAACATTTCTCAAAGGGTATAATTGATCACTTCTAGTTTTTTTAACAATTAAAAATGATAAATTTAAGAAAGCATCAAGAGTAATATCCTTTTGAAAAAATGTTTTAACAGTCAAACAACTTCCAAAGTTTTTAAAGATATAACCAACTGCTAATTCACTTTTAGAGTTACATTTGATATGAATCTTGGAATTTATTCTTTCATATAAGAGACTGTAGTATTTATAGCCTGTTTGAGATTAGAACACCAAAGTTTCCCAAAATGTTCTTTCAGACGACTAGGGGACATATCTCCCTAAAAAAGTCAGCATACACTTTAGGTGTCTTGGTTAAGATTTAGAAAATGAAGTAATCTTTGTTCTTGTGTTGGAAAATTTGCAGAATCAGAACTGATTATCATATGAACCTGTATCTATGCGATCCATTCCTCAGTGTGGATACTGAAAGTAAATTTGACTGTCCAAAAAGAAAAATCAAAGAAACACTGCTACAAGAATCTTGGCAATGCAAATAATATTTTCTCTGATCTTCACTAATATTGGTGAAAATTTATTTTGGTCCAAATTTTACTTCTGATAAATCAGTGCAAAATATAGAACGGGCATATGTAAGTTGTTAGAATTTCACACTACTGTGCTGATGAGAAGGAAGGATTTGAAATTTCATAGCTCATTACTTCCCAGATGCGTCACATCAGGAAAAGAGAAAATAGTTCTATGAGCAGATAGCTGTTCTTGGCACTTCGTGCTGCAGTTCCTGCCAGTGGTAGGCAGGTGTTCCATAAACATCGCCCTTGTCTGCAGCTGTGTCATCAGTCAAGCCTGTTTCTACTTTTTCATTGTCTATAATTTGCTCATTGATCGATATCTTCATATGTGCAAATATATGCTTCATTTAAAACCAACAAGCTATCTGTATTGGTGCAGTTGTGGCACTTTTATCTTGGGGGCAATCAAAAGCTGTCTAATTGAACTTAAGGCCCATTCAGTGAGAGGGAAATCATGTATGGTACTATACACATAGCTAAATACACATGGCTGGAGCAGTCATAGACCCTAAAGAATAGCTTACTTCTGTTACTTTCCTAGGCCAACATAAATTCTTACTATGTTCTAGATAACTACACTTACATTTATAGACACTCTCACCATTTATTAAAGGAGCTTCTTTTTGCAACAGATGGACACTATTACAAAGTTCCACAACTGGTCAAATGCAGATGATATATGACTGTGAGATGCCTAGCATTAAGTGACACTTCTGTAATGCAAACTTCTACCTAAGGCTCAGGGAACATAATGGAAGGGGGGAGTGTCGGAGCCAGAGGGACAAGATACCTGCCCCTAGATAAGGCATTCTAGACATGGTAGGGATGCTGTGCCAATGAAATCTTCACACTGTGGTAGTCTAATGAGATCTGCATAATGACAAAACCAGTTGTCATGCCAAAGTGGACAGGGGAAATGTCACAGGGTCCCATCTCAAGATGAGGAGTTGCAATCAATGGATGCCTGGGGGGAGGTGCGATCAGTTTCTCCATATACATACAAGTATATATTTATAAATGTATTTATATGGAGCAGAAATAACCAAAGAAGAGGACAGGATATTGAGACAAAGTAGGTGAACATGGGAGAAGTCGG